TTGCACAGCTAAACTTTCAAACAAATTTGAAAACACTTCTATGAGAAATTTTTTTTCTCCAATGCCCGTCTGGGGAATGACCCTTCGTCAATACGGACATCTGAAGTGCAGATTTTTGGGCCACTCTTCCAGGGGCACCATATTAGGTGGGTCAACGTTGCTCCCACGATAAGGACAGATAGTACAGAGAATGAAAGAACATCTATGCTTTAGCCGGGATTCGAACCCAGAACCTTTATGATGCGAGACCAGTTCCCTGACTCCTGCGCAAGCCATTTGACCTATATGAAACATATTTACTGAAAATGTCTAAGTGACTATCTTTATCCTTAAAAGAAAGCTGCAATCACGTTGCAAAATTTTTTGCTGCAACTCACCTGGTGAGTTTTGTGTCCCATTCCTTGCGCAAACATTATTTTAAAACTGCCAAAGTCTTCTAAAGTACAGCGCAAATTCTCATCTCCAAGACGGACAAAACGGAAAATTCATTGAAGTCGAAATTGGAGAATAAGGTTGCTATTCTTAAGTTGTGTAAAAACCGGGAAATATACCTTTCACTTTTTTAAATACCTACAGTTCTCTGTACATGAGTATAAAAGTAATAACGCAATGAACTTTCATACACAAGCTTGAATACATGTTTGGCTAAGCGATTGACATAAAAATGTTAAACTTTGAGGGGTAAAATACTTGGTTTCAAATATTGTCCTAGTTATTCCTTGTATTATCTAAGGAAAAGAAAGTGTAATATATAGTAATTTTTAAATTATAACAGCTATTTAAATTAGGGTAAAATAATGAAAATACAAACATAAAAAGTCTAATCATTTCCATAATCAACAACCTTTATTTTCAAAACATTTTCACACACCAGATATGTATATATATATTTATATAAAGATCCATTAATTTTTTATAAAAACCATCTAAAAATCATGGAAGTGTTTATTCAGATATGCTTTTTTACTATGGAAGCGATATAGAATAATACATCATTCTTATCTCTNTCGAACACAGAACCTTTCTCATGTGAGGTCAGTTCCCTGACTCCTACATAAGCCATTTGGCCTACATGAAACATATTTACTGAAAATTTCTAAGTGACTACCAAATAAGAATAGAAAGCTGCAACCACGCTGCAAAATTTTTGCTGCAGAGATTATTTTAAAGCTGCCAAAGTCTTTTAATGTACAGTACATATTCTCGTCTCCAAGATGGACAAAACGGAAAATTCATTGAAGCCGAAAATGGAGAATAAGGTGGCTATTGTTAAGTTGTGAAAAAATCGGGAAGTATACCTTTCACTTTTTTTAATACCTACAGTTCTGTGTGCTTGAGTATAAAAATAATAACGCAACGAACTTTCACACACAAGCTTGGATACATGTTTGGCTAAGCGATTGACATAAAAATTTTAAACTTTGAGCGGTAAAATATTTGGTTTTAAATATTGTCCTAGTTATTCAAGTCATTATCAAAGGAAGGAAATGTAATATATAGTAATTTTCAAATATTAACAATTATTTAAAATGGGGGTAAAATAATGAAAATACAAATATAAAAAGTTCAATCATTTCCATAATCAACAACCTTTATTTTCAAAACATTTTCACACACCAGATATGTATATATATATTTATATAAAGATCCATTAATTTTTTATAAAAACCATCTAAAAATCATGGAAGTGTTTATTCAGATATGCTTTTTTACTATGGAAGCGATATAGAATAATACATCATTCTTATCTCTTCCTCGATATATCTAAAGTTTACCATAACTACCCACCTTTGATTAATACAGATGGACAGCACAAATATCAGAAAATTGAAATGATGGTCCGATAATATAATTACACGTATATTTAATTGAATACCGATATTATAACCCATCGTGTAGTCTTATGTCTGGAACATTTTGAAACTTTGTAAGCAGCATGCTTAAAATTTCTCCGACGAATTCAGAGAGGTTAAAAAAGGCAACAAAAGAGTGAACATTTTTACCACAGAACAGGGTATCGCAATCAAATTCACGAAAAACGTATGTAGGCAAAATTATCTTTTAGCATGGATTGTCATCGCTCCAGCAGACATTGCACCATGCCTGTTATCTTCTAGTGTCTCGGGGAATCAAGTTTACGTCATTGTAGACTGAGCAATGATTTCCGAGGGTTTTATTCAAACAATTCTTGTGATAATCAAATAGCTTTTGTTGTTAGTAAGTTTGTAATCTTTTTGATAGTTATTTTTCCAGTGTCACGTTGAAACATGCATGGTTACGTGGTTTCCAATCCTATGTATTATCTAATAGTTTTCCTTCACGTGTTGCCATTTCTCAACCCTCTGAATTCATCGGTCAAATTTTGAAGCACTCTGAGTTGCCATGATTAAGGGAATTACTCAATCTTTTTTACTAAAGTTTATCGAGAACGAAAATTGTTTCGATAATACTTTTTAGTTATTTTATTATGTAATGAACAGCTTACACAGAATATAAATTTTAAAGCTTCAATTTAAAAAAAAAAGATCTGTAAAAAAGACATGGAATTGATTTTGGTCCTTACTTTAGATTCAATTTGCATTCTTAGAAATTTTAAAAAGTGTTGGACCATAATATACGTCACATTTTCTGCAATCTTAACACAGCGCCAGGTTTAACCATATGATCATGCAAATTAAACCTTTTTAAACTACACGATACCATGGTTCAACTTAAATAGAAATATGGTGCACCTTAATATTCAGTCTGTAGCAACTTTGCATAATATAATGGTTCAAATACAAAGCATTGGCAACTAAAACCATAATACGGTGCAAATTTGCTGCAACATTTAACAATATATATTTAGTTTAATTACATTTCCGTTTAAGTTATACCGTAGAATATTATTGCAATCAATGTAATCAATTCAGCATTGCATCTTTTTTCATAAAATGGAATAAAAGTGTTCTTTTTTTTTAAAGAAAATATTAATGTTCTCTATTTCAAAGAAGATAGTAAGACATCGGCTATTATTCTTTATTGACTACGACCTGACTATGACCAGACATTCGTAACGCCAACAGACAGAGAAATTTTCGGCCGTAGTGCTTTTTCACTAGATTATGTGACTAGGCATACTCCGTTTGTTACGCTATATTGAAACATTCAGCGAGATTATGGTACAACAAACTCTAAAATTTCTAACAGAGACTTAGCATATGTTCAAATGCAATGAATTTCTTTTTTTAAACAGTTTTGAAAGAATGAATGCAACTGAGAATATCATCGTGATTGTAATTAAAAAGTCAACATAATCATTGGAGCACTTTTTTTGAAATTCACGTTCAGAAAGCATACCAATTGCTTCAGATAGGTTAGTAAAAGTCTTATTTTAATTTGAATGGAACTTAGACAAAAAATATGTAACACTACACTGAGAAAAAAAAAGTATGGTGAAAATTACCATGATATGGTAAAATTTACCGAGTTTCCGGCTGAGTACACCGAAAATATCGGTAAATTTTATTAATACGCTTTGGTAATGATTTTTTTTTAAAATTAGCAATAAAATACGGTGTTATAATAAATGATAAAATTTAGTAAATGTGATAAAATTTGGTCAATTTATCATAAGATATATCATGGTTTACAAATAATTTATTCGGTTAAATTTACTTTTCAGTTTTGTATTTTTTATTAAATGTGTAGCAATAAGAACTTGAAAACGAGAATTTCTGGTAAACCACATTTTGCCACATTAACGGAAAAATTACAAAATGAATGCTTTAAATATCGTATATTTTGGTTATATCAACCAGAATTATTATTTTTAATTAGAAATGTCATTATCATATACGGCAATTTTACAAGAATATTTTTCTCCTTGTAAGTGTTAAACCATTAACTTAAATAATATACTTTGTATAATAAACTCTTTTTTTGTACCGGCTCTATACGTGTTTAAATATCTAACAGTAGAGGTAAATACACATGAAAATGTTTAAGAAACAAACATTTGTTTACATTGATGATAACTTAAATATTCCTGCTTATGAAAGGAATGAGTTTCAAATTTTTATATAATACTAATGACTTATAAAACCGTTGAAAAAAGAAAATGAAACATGAAGCTGTAATATAAATACAACTAAAAAAACTTTGATGACAATTAAAAAAAATATGGAAATTGAATACATTTTACCATTTAGAGAAAGAAATACTCATACAGAGAAAATAACAAACACAGTTTTGTATAATATAGCTTAAAAGTAACATAAAGTATATTTCATCATAAGTTTTGTCCAATTATTAAATTCTATATACATACTGCTAAGGAAATCAGTTTCTTTCCAGTTTTCTTAATAATTAATTCTTTATTATTTATAAAGCGGGAAGAACTATCTTTTTTTCGAAAATTGTTTTGAATCAGGTTAAATTTTAAATATATGTTGCTTGTATTAACGAATGGTTCCTTCAATTTTTTCATTAATTAACCTTCCATTATTTATGTGACAAACAAAAATGATTTTATTTTAAAAAGCTTTTTCAATAAAAAAATCAGAAATAATGTTTTTGATTAAATGGATACTCATATATCTACTAGATATGTTAAGAAGAAAATTGGATATGCATTGATAAGAATTTTATTTGATGCACAGCGGAGGATTAAATAAAACACTCTTACAACAGCCAGTTGTTAGCCCCAGAGGCTCTACAAAATGTTAGGGTTCCAACGGCGTTGATGATAAGTTTGTCAGCATTGTGCTCCGGGTAAGCTAGACAAGCTCGTACCCCCCCTAGATTTCAAGCTAGGTGAGCTTCAAGCTGACAGTAGGGATAGAACTCTTGTATGTTTTAGAACAGTAAGAGCTGAGTCCCTTAACCACGGTTTCATCTTGGCTTACAAAATTAAATGTGTATCACAAATTTGAACAATGTGTTACATTTATCACCCTTATTTATTGCATAAACATTTATGTTTAAATATTTATATTTTACTTTAATTTTTTATTTTAATTTCTCATACATTATATTTTACTTCCTTTATTCTTTCATTTTAACTTTAATTTTACGTTTTACTTCAAAATTTCTGAATAAAAACAATGCGATTCAGTACAAATGATGACAAATCTAAAACAAGTACATTCCAAACAAAAATGTAAATTATATAACAGCATTACAACACAGAATACAAACACGAAATATATGTTAATTTTTAATTAACATCATATGAATGTAGCTTGACAATATAATGCTCTTCCCAATTGTAACTTTGAATTCTTATCTTGATATTATTCTTGAAGCAAATGGATCTGTTAACAATAGATATTATCATATTGCTTAAGGTTTCAAGTTAGTTTCAATTCGTGAGTGTTTATCACAACGTCTCATTTTCATCAAGTCGGAAGATTTGCTTTTGTTTAGTCCTGCAGTTTTTATTTTTATTTTCAAAATTTCTTACACTCTGTCATTTTTAGCTCATTTTTTTTATATATCAGAAAATAAGAAATAGTTTACAAAATTTCTATTTAATTGCAATGATTGAAAGATAGTAAATTTGTGCGATCTAACTTGTTAAGTGTGTAAAAAGAAATTTTGACAACTTCTAATCGAAGTTACATCTGCCAAGGAAGCTAACAAACGTTCTGCAAAGTTTACAACAACAATGTATGTATTGTTTTTATCTTTCATAACTAAAATAATATTTGGTAAAAAGCACTTCAGTATGTAATCAGTACGACCTTTCTCAACTTGAGTTTTTTATGTTAGTTATGAGTTATTTCTGTGCACGCGCACTATAAGCTCTTCTCCTTTAGATGTTGCGAAGTATGGTACTTTATTCGTAAGTTACAACTCTTTTTGAATTTCTTTGTCAGTTACCGTGGAAATGTTTCTCTTACAATGGCCGTTGAGAAGATAAACAATATCTACTCATATTTTTACTTACATTTCTAGATTTGATTTCCATTCTTTATTAAACCGGGTCATGAACATAAAAATAAAATTTCTTAGTCAAGGGGGAGGGGAGCAGAATGAAACATTGACTGACGAAACAAACATCATCTCCTGTAAGTAGTTGACAGTAGTTAACATAGCTGCACTAAAGGTGGAATACATCTGTACAGTGATGGTATTTTAGATTATGTTTCTCATATACATATAAACTTTACAGAGTTTATTTATGTACAATTTTCATATGTAGTCTTTCTAAGGGCTTGGCAATGAAGTCGGCAGGTTTGACACAGGAATGACAGACATAGAGCCAACTGAAATGACAACAATAAAAGAAAGATTGTTAAAATGACTAGCGTACCTTATCTCAACTAAATTTTCTAAAAACTTTAAATTGTGCACAAAAGTTTGCTCAGCTGCATAATGATAGATAATAAAATCATTTATTTCCGAAAAGATAATTGGTTTGCATTATTTTATTTACTGGTTTGGCAAGAGACGGAGCCAGTTAAGATAAAAACAATGAAGGAAAGATTGTTAAAAAGACTAAAATAGCTTGTCTTAACTAATTTTTCAAAAAACTTTAAGCACTATAGAAAGTTTCGCACAGCTATAGAATAATAATTTATGAAATGATTTATTAAGAGATTATTCGCTTACATTATTTTATATGCATATTTAGAAGGACACGGAGCCAACTAAAATAATAGCAATAGAAAAAAAGATTTATAAAATATTTAAATAGTTTATTCTAATTTTTCTAAAAAAATTCAAATTTTAAAGAAAATTTTGCACAACTGTAGAATGATAGTGGTTTCTAGAATGATTTATTGCTTAAAAGTTTATAAATTTACATTATTTTATTTATAAATAAATTTCAAAATTAAAAATTCGAAATGGTTTCCAGCAATCTCTATTTAAAAGATTCTTTTCTCAACAATGTCAGAAGAGTTCTATGCTATCTTATATTCTTTTTCTCATTAAATTTTAATGAAACAAGTTACTTTGCTACTATTATCGAAACATAAAATATTCATACAAAGCTTCATTATTTTTCTAATAAACAGAGAAATCTTAGATACCGTATTGGGGATTTCAGGAAATTTATCTCTTTGATTTTTATTTTAATAATTGATAAATGTTTTACTAATAACAATGGAAGAATTTTGACGTTGACTTCATCATATAACAGTAATATTTAAAGTTCCTTAAGAAGCGTAATTATTTCCTGTAAATCGTTGTTGAAACTGTTATTTTACATTGACATATTTTTTGGGAAACATCTATGGTATACAGTAAGATTAGATAAGGTAAAAATGCATTTATTATAAAGTATTATATTTTACTAAAAATTTGAAAATCGTTTTATGAGCAATATAAAAAGTATTATTTCCACCTGTTGTTAACAATTTATAATGTTTTTTTGTGTTGTTTTGCATGCAGAAATTTCTGGAACTATAATAATTAAAAAGGTAAAATTAAGTGTAAAATCTGAGGCAGAGAAGTTAAAAATTAATACACTATGTCTAGTTAAAGAAGTGAAGTATTCCCGCAATATCCTGTTATAGATCAGGATGATCATGGAGGCAACCACAATTTCGTGACCAACGGCATGATTGTCGCAATGTGGTCAGTATTGCGCACAGGCTGCATGTACTTTCCTGACAAGGTGGTACCCATCAATGGAACTGGGTGGAGTTCAAGCCTCCACTGAGTTTTTAACATAGCCACCGAGAAATTAGACCGTTGAAATCAGCCAGTGATTTAGTTTTTTTCTTCCCTTCTTTGTAAAACTTTTTCACGTGCCTTTTTTATGTTTACATGTTATTTGAATCCCAAGGGATTTTTTATCTGTTGAAGATAAAGCTTAAAGGCAAATTTTTTTTCACAATCGACTAAAAAAACTGTGCGTTGAATAAGGGTTTTGAAAATTATTAAAATATTTGCAGCATGCTATTTATATCTTTGCATTTGATATTTTTTTGGAATTTTTTTCGTTTCAATTTCGCATATAAGAAATCACAGAAAATGCTACATTTGATATATAAGTAACTAAATGAGCAGATTTACTGCAGGAACCATAATGCTGAAAACAAATGTTTTTTCGAAAAATATTGCAGAAACTTACAACTTTAAAAAATTTAAAAATTGGGAGATGTATTTAATTTTTTAAAAAATCTGAGCCACGTTACTAATTTTTTAAAATAAATTGATTTTCATTAAAGTATGCATGTCGTGCAACTAAAAAAATATTTACTTTAATTTTATTTCAAATTTTTTCTTTCTGAGGATGCTTTGACTTTAATCATTGAGTAGTTAAAACTTTGAGAAACAGTAACTTTTGAGAAAAATTTCCTCTTGTGATTAAAAAGCAATTCATTTTTAAGAAAAAGGAACAGGTAGAAACGTGAAAGATTAAATATTTTTATGAAAAAGTTTCAAGTTAGTCCTAATTTTTCTAGAATAAAATTAAATATGCAGTTATAATCCCTCAAAATTTTATTTTGAAGTGAAAGTGAAAACACATAAATATATCTTTTTAAGGGGAAACAACACAGTAAAATTTGTAAAAAAAAGAGAAAAAAAAGCTTTTCTACTTTTGATAGTTTATCTTTTAAAGATTATTACTTATATTTTTAAGATTAAGTACTAAAGCATTTAATTGTTTTTCGCAAAAATGTAGATGTTTCAGCTTGATTTGTAGAGTCCGGCACTAGACGCATGACTTTCTATGACATGCATGAACAACTTAACTTGTGTGCTTAGTTGATTAATGTATTTACTTACTCTAATCAATTAATCAATTCAATCTAATCATTAGTAAAATACCCTCATTTCAACTATTTTATTAAAATAATTAGTTGAAATTACGTAAAGAAAGAATTAATGGTGAATTCAATATAAATGGTTGAAATTGCAACTGGTGTAGCTGTACTGTTTTTAATAAATGTTGCAAAGGGTTATGGACAATTTTGGAGCAATTAGAAATAAATGTAGACCAAGCAGCCAAACAATACGCTCAAAATGAAGATGATCGCTGAATTTTGACTGCTACACTAAAAACGAATGAGACGTTACATGAGGGTCAAAAGAAATTACTAGACTAGCACTTGAGACTGGACTACTAAAAATGGAGAAGAAGCATTGTTTTGGATTTGGCATCGATGCATTATATTTAGTTCAAAATTTCATGTATTTATATGGGTTATTGATCACAAAACTTTAAATGCAATTTACACAAAACTATGTTTCTCTTACTTCTTGCACCTCGAATTAGTACATTTTTCAACCAATTTACTTCAAATTTTGACCAATGTTCACAATAAATATAGTTTTCATTGCGCGTAGAGATTTTTTTTTATTGGGTTGACTGATTCTGAATAATTTATGAAAATGAAGCTTATTTTATGTCAATTTTTAATTTTTTTAAAACGCCGCCATTTTGACAGGAAAAAAAATTATTTTTAAAAAATTCTACGTGCAATGAAAATTACATCCATGTAGTTTAGAAAAATCAAAACGAAATCAAATTAAATGATTTTTTTTCAATTTATGAGAATAGCAAGTTGTAGATAATTTGAAAAATAAGTTATAAGTATTGTATTTTATAAGCACTAACTTTTCAAATTTTTGTATTTGTAACATGATAAAATAAAAATGAAAATATGTACAATAACATTAAAAAATGTATTAAGTAAAGATTATCGCAATCGTTTCTAAATTCATTAAAAAATCCTTCCGATTTTCAGACTTTTACTGTGTACCTCCTTAAAACACAGCAAAATCCTGGAAAACCACGCTGCCCCATTAATATCACTTTCTTTTAATTTTCATAATTTATTTTACACTTAGGTTCGTATGGGTTATCATATTTGGAAATAATACTAAATATATTAAAACTTATATTTAATTATTATAATCATTTTACTTAAACTTTGAGTTTTATTTATTGTACCAAAAGATAGTCGAAAAAAGAAAAAAAAAGAATTTAGCAAATGTTGATAGGTTTTTAACATACACGTTGACGAATGTTAAAATATTAAAATAGCATCCTCATGGAAAATTCATTTCATAAATCTCTTATTATTAATTTATATACTTATTAAAAGCTATTGAATTATCCAAATCAGTTTTAGTATGTAATACACTTAATTGTTGGGGAATCTTTGATTTACCTACCTTAAAGTACGACCTGACGTGCAGCAACTTTAAATAAAATGAATGGATAAAATAAAGGATGTTAAGGAATGAGGAATCTATAGTTAGAAGGGTCCACCACCTCTACTTTGCCTGGTATGGGTGAACAACTTCATTAATGACTTTATCTTGGCTTGGCTAGTAAGGCACTGGACAACATACTTGTTTTCACTGTCGCCAATTGTTATAATTAGCTGTAAAACATACATTAATAGGGTAAATTAATTTTGTGCTTTTACTGTTATTATATCAGAAAGTTTTTTGTTTTTATGTGAAAACTAAATTATTAGATTTATAATATGTATGCATTGTTTTTCTAAACAATCTGGGGGATAACGTTTCCGAATTTCTATAATCTTATTTTGGAAACTCATATACAGCGTTTTTTTTAAAAATATTTTATAAAATATTATATTGTTATAATTAGCTGCAAAACATACATTAATAGCGTAAAATAATTTTGTGCTTTTACTGTTATTATATCAGAAAGTTTTTTCTATGTGAAAACTAAATTATTAGATTTATAATATGTCTGCATTGTCTTTCTGAACAATCTGGCGGATAAAGTTTCTGAATTTCTATAATCTTATTTTGGAACCTCATATGCTGCTTTTTTTAAAAAAAATATTTTAATCCTTCCTTTTTTAAACTGTTAAAGGTTGGTTTCTGCCTTGTTTACGTATGAATTTGAGGTTTCTAAAATTTTTTGCCTGTTTAAATTCCGTGTAAGAATTTCACGACTTTTAACTTTCTTAGCTGTAAACTGTTAGAAATTTCTCGGAAAAAATGGTTAAATAACAATTTATTAATTGTTATTGTACAAATCAGCCAAATTACCTTAAATAAGATAGTATTCAAACTGTTAATTGGGAGAAAAATCGTTTATTAACTGCTTTCACCAAATACTACTGTAAAGCAGCCAGAATTTTATCGAGCCAACTAGACCCACCAACTGAAGCAACTTAGTTCCTTGCAGCTGGGTACATATCGGACACCACAATACTTCGTCCATTTCTTTCAACACTTGTCCAGTGTCATACGCTCTCTAACTTGTGACCGTGGACTATTAGAATATCATTCATACATAGATGGAAGCACCAAAAAGCTGCTTAACCCTAAAACGTCTAGATTAATTAAATTACATTCCACGGTTTATTTGACTTTATTTGACACAACTCAACCACTACCTTACTCTAGTTAAATCCTGTTCTGTTAAATCCTGTCCAGTTAAATTTCTTATTTTGCGATTTTGAAAAAATGCTACTTGTGAATGATTAAAAATCGTATAGTTATTTATATTATTATTTATATATAGTTATTTATATTATTTATACAGTATTTTACCGTATTTTAAAATGCAAATTCTAACAGTGCACAGCAAAACTTAATTATTTTAAATGATAAAAATTTCTTATTTTCTGTATGCTTAATAAATAATATAAAAGCGTAAGACATTTTCAAAAATGTGTTTTTGACTTTCTTAAATCAATTTATTTGAAACATATTAAATTTAGGCTAATATAGGATCATACTAGAATCAAAGAAATATAAGCAAACATGAAATCAAACTAAAAGTTTAAAGCTGTTTTTTTTATTCTATAGAAATATTTTCCCTTAAATATATTTTGGGCTTTAAATTTAGTCTTCGGCCAATAATTTTTTATTATATTTCCTCGAATATGTTTGTAGAAAGCTTTTGAGGACGATTGGAAAAAAAGTGAAAAATAAATCTGAGAAAATTTAATGTGGTGCAGAACAGGATGTTTATTGAATGCTTTGTTTTGATTGATGATAAGTGCTTGTAAATGTCTTATCACTAGGGACTGGACACAAATTAATTTCATTATTTAGAGTTTATATTTATTGTTTCTAAAGTTAAAATAAAATTTTAAAAGTAAAATAGCTATTCGTTGCCAGATACAAACAAATGTATTAAATAATTAAAAGATAATATATTTAAATAAAATGCTTTTTTTAATACAATAATTTCCAATATTATACAAAATGTCAAAGGTTTCAGGTGGCTTGAAAAATTTGCGGAAAATAGTTTGTGGTCTCAAAGATATTTTTGAAATGTACTCTCGCGAAAGTTTAATTTTAGTTTACAGTAAAATGTTTGAGTAACGTTACTATCGAAGTAATTCTAGGATGTTATCTTTGAAAATATTTCTTGCTTATTAATTTTAAAATATTTCTTCAATATTATCTTTATAATATTTGAGGGACATACAAGCATTTTAGGAATAGGTACTTATCCGTTTTGAAAGTCGTAAAAAATCGCCAAACATTTCATGCTAAATATTTCATACTGTGGTAACAGATACCTAATATAAGTAGAGTTAGTGCAGTTTTTTATTATCTCCCACAAAACAGTTCAATAGTGGCTAGTAGTTTTTTTAAAACTTAATGAAAAATGCGTTTTTGTGTTAAACTCAGCAACAGTAGTTTATAATTGTAACCAAATTTCGATATTTTGTGCTTAACGGGTATTAGTTCAAAAACAAATACAAAGTATAACAATACTCAATCTATGGGCATTTTCGTTTATCTATAAATGCAATATTGCTTGCTTCAAATCATTTTAGGTTCGCATCGAATAATAAATTACAAATGATATAAATCTTGAGCTTCATATAATAAATGCTCAATAAAAATCATATGTTCATATTATTTTAAATTGTTTAAAGTTGTATTAAATATTTTAAGCAAACAATCATTACATAAAACAGAATACAATTTTCTAGAAAGTAGAAAATGAATATTAATAATAAAAGCAATAAACCTTTCAATGACAGGAAAAAAAACTATAATAAGTTGTAGGATAGCCATGTTTTTTTATTATGATATGTAAGTTGTGTATTTCATGGTGGCATTCATTAAACTAAAAGTTGTATAATAATATAATTAAGAACTCTTAAATAAATTGTTTAAAGAAATTTATATTTTATTTTTGTACAGCAATAAATAACTGCATTATAAAAAATTGTGTGAATTCGAATCTAATAGGTCTTACCTTGGTAAAACAGGGAACTCTGCATTGTTGGACAACTTTGACCCTAAAAGAAAAAGAACAGAAATTAGTATCTTATAACTAAGTTAGTATCTTTCAATGAAAGTGAAGAAATAATAAGATAGCAATTTTTATTTGCAAACAAAGACAGTTAGAAACAATCTCAAGACAGTTAGAAGCNAAAGGTTGCAGGTGGTTTGAAAAATTTGCGGAAGATAGTTCGTGGTCTCAAAAATATTTTTGAAATGTACTCTTGCGAAAATGTAATTTTAGTTTACGATAAAATGTTAGAGTAACGTTACTTTCGAAATAATTCTGGGGTGTTATCTTTGAAAATATTTCTTGCCTATTAATTTTAAAATATTTCTTAATTATCTTTATAATATTTGAGGGACATTACAGGAATATTTCAAAAATTTTAGAAATAGATACTTATCCGCTTTGAAAGTCGTAAAAAATCGCCAAACATTTCATATTGTGGTAACAGGTACCTAATATAAGTAGAGTGGGTTTAGATTTTTATTATCTCCCCCAAAATAGTTCTATAGTGGTTCCTAGTTTCTTAAAACTTAATAAAAAATATGTTTGCGTTTTTTAAGCGTTTTTTTGCGTCAACCTCTGCAACAGTAGTCTAGAGCTAAAACTAAATTTCGATATTTTGTGCTTTACGGGTATTAGTTTAAAAACAAATGCAAATATAACAATACTCAATCAATGCTCGTTATATACCTATGCAGGCAATATTGCATTTATAAATGCAATATTGCCTGCTTCCTTTTTTGTCGGCTTACTTCAAATCATCTTAGGTTCTCATCGAATAATAAATTACAAGTCATATAAATCTTGACCTTCATGTAATAAATGTTTAATAAATATCATATATTCATATTGTTTTAAATTGTTTAAAGTTGTATTAAGTATTTTAAGTAAACAATTATTATCTCGCTCATGGGCTGCAATAGCGGCAAAACTCAAAAAATCATGCTTTGAGATAAGCGGGTTTAAAGTTTTCATTGCTGAGGAAAATTCATAAGAAATGCTTTAGTTTGCTTAAACGAAGATTACCTTCAAGTTGAATTATGAGTTTTGCTAGTATTGCTGCTGAAGGAATGTGTATTTTTATATTTACACCTGCTCTTAGTCCAAAACGCGTGTTTTTTTAGTTGTGCCACTATTGCAGCCCATGAGCAATATATAACAGAGTATAATTTTCTAAGAAGTAGAAAATGAATATCAATAATAAAAGCAATAAACCTTTCAATGTCAGAAAAAGAATGATAATACGTTGTAGGATAGCCTTGTTTTTTTAATATGCTATGTAAGTAATGTATTTCATGGTGACATTCATTAAACTAAAAGTTTTATAATAATATAATTAACAACTCTTAAATAAATTGTTTAAAGAAATTTATATTTTATTTTTGTACAGCAATAAATAACTTCATTATAAAAAATTGTGTGAGTTCAAATCTAATAGGTCTTACCTTGGTAAAACAGGGAACTCTGCATTGTTGGACAACTTTGACCCTAAAAGAAAAAGAACAGAAATTAGTATCTTATAACTAAGTTAGTATCTTTCAATGAAAGTGAAGAAATAATAAGATAGCAATTTTTATTTGCAAACAAAGACAGTTAGAAACAATCTCAAGACAGTTAGAAGCATAACACTTTTACTTGCATTCAAAGTAATCACCTTTATCTGTAATACACTTTTTATTTCCCAAAATATATTCAAAATTAAAAATCTCGAAAATCAGAGATACCCGAGGACACCTTTTCATCTCATTTCTAGTATTTTGCAATATCTTCTGTCTGTGTCCTCACAGTTAAGTGTATCAAAGCTGTTCTGGTCACCATCAGCGGACGAATGAGAGGACAAATAGGGAGCAATGCTACTATGGACAGAAGACTTGTCATACAATATTCTGTCAACTGCCATACCATGATGAAAACACCGCTTCTCGTCTGATCACAGAAGTCAAGCATCATCGTGCACTGTCAGTATTTAGAAGAGTGACCACCTGGGAACACCTCGTACTGTTGGCATGCCTTTTGAGCCGTGGGGGCTCAAGGGATAGAGATCTTACCTCCCATTGAGGTGACCCGGGTTTCGAGCCCCGATTATGGTTGCTCGATACGAATTTCTCACCCGGCTCGCACCGACAACAGTGCTGACGTAAAATATTCTCAGTGGTAGACGGATCCTGGGTTAGAGTCCTCTTGCCGACGGGCTAACCGTGGGAAGTTTTCAAGATTTTCCTCTCCTTGTAATGCAAGTGCGGACAAGTTCTATTAAAATGTCCACCACGAAGGCAAATTTCTCTCAATACTTGATACAGGATTTCCCTTGCTTTCTGAATTGGTTTCAAAATTGTACGGCTTACGGAGTTGAACACCGGTAGTCTTAAACTCAAAATTGGGTCTGCTGTTCAAAGGCGATTATAAGATGAAATGAAATATTCTTCAGCATCGGATTCCTCTGTCTTACTCGCATACCTTACACTATGTGGGGCTTCAGCATGACACTTACTTCTCGTATGTAATTTTTTTGAGAATTCATGATTCCATAGACTTTGTCAAGCCTCCGATCTGACCTGGAGGAATAAGCCGCAACAACACAATATACCTTTGTTATCGTTAGTACAGCTGCTGGAAATTGTCAGCAAAGGCTTCTTTTGATATTTTCCGAGCCCTATTGTCACACTACGCTATGTCACCATGTTCATCTTCAACACCGTACACATCTTGATGTTTACGCGTTGTACCATTTCGAAGTGGCATGCTTTCTCATCATTATAGCGTTACTTTGCGAACATTTCTGTTTAATGTGTCGTGATTGACGCGCTAGGGAGCACAAGTCACCATATCTCTAACTTTTCCAGCGTGAGTGTAATATTTTCACCAATGTTCTTATTTACGTACACTATAAAAAAAATTCCGGATCAAATTCCGGTATGAAGTACCGGTACTTTGGGTGCATCATCCGTGAAATCGATTTTACCGTAATATCCCTTTTACCCTGAAAATATTATACTGTAATTTTTGCAGCAGTATTTATTTAATTAGAGTGATTCAGTGATATTTTACGGTAATTATTATTGTAAGAATTATGTCTTATCAGACTTTTTGTTTCGAAATATGCTATGGTAAAAATCAATTTCACGTTAAAAAGTACCGGCATTCTGCGAGATGATACTTTTTACCGCAATTTGATCCGGAATATTTTTTTACAGTGTATGGGACCATTCACCAAACTCTTCAGAAGAACCTTGCGATATGAATAAAAAATAATATGACAATTCTAAACTAAATGATTTGATTTTTAGCAAATAAGATAGATTGTGTTTATGTGAAATTGTCAATATAATAACCAATTGCTTTACAGATCCTCATATGCAACGCAAAAATTCTATTTTTACTTTTTTTAATTCCTTTAAGTTTTCAATCAAAATACATTTAGCTAATGTAGGCATTTTTTCAATGGCAAATATAACCACAGAAACCAATCAGTCAGCCATATTTCACTCTATGTATTTTCACTACATATATTCTAAAAAAAATGAAAAATATATCTCTTTTCATTGGTTGTGGAATATGTGCCCTTAAAGTTGAATTACGTAGGTTCAGATTTCAAAAGAAGGTATCTTTTCATTTCACTTTCAAAATATTCTACTATGAATTCGAGATTACTGTTCCCCCCCCACCCACCGAGCTGTGGGAAAAGTAGAAAAAGAATCGTATCTAATTATCATATTCCAAGTTAAGATGTCAACAGGTTAAATATAATAGATTCTATGATGTTTCATGTATTATGCATGTAAGTTTCGCATATTCTTTGTACAACTTTGACTACGGTTGAAAATTTTCCTCCCAGTCCCAGTACGGCAATTTCGAAAGTATAACTTTGTATTTTTATTCGCAAGTATTTCGACAGAATATGTATGAAATCCAATAGAAAATAAGATCTTTTCTTATTTCTGTATTGGCTTTTCGATAGCGCTTGATCGATAAAAAGGGAAATGTAAATGATTTATACATTTTTTAAAAGAGGTAAGGCATCTTGGAGATTTGAATTTGTAAATTGTTTTGAGTTTCGAAAGCTCATATTATGTGCTTACTTATGAAAAATTTTGTAGAAGGCAATGAAAGTTGTTACAGGATATTTAGTTTTCAGTATAAAAGGAATGAAAGTCAATAATATTCATGTTTTTAAATAATGGTGTTATATGGTATATAATAGTTTATGAAAATTAAGAAGTTATCGATGTATTTTTACAACAAAATAGTTTTCATTGCAAAACCTGATTCCAAAATTTTTAACAGTTTCTATTATTTATTTATAGGCTTAACTAAACTTAACATATAGTGGTCCTTAATAAACAAAGAAGATCCAGATATGCTAGGCTATCATTATTATTTTTCATGTTTTGATAAAAGATATATTCTTTGTTCTTTTTAAATTGCGCTTTTTTGTGGTGAGTGCTAGCTTATATTTGGAAGAATCGACAGAAATTATATCACGTCACAGTGAGACTTTATTTCTTATAAATTACTGATAACTGCGTCATTGCTATAGAGATGTCTAAGCTGACGTCACTTCACTTATCGGACCACTGGCAATCCATCACATCAATGATCAATCAGTTACAGCTAGCAATCAATGGGAATACGTTTCTAATGGGATGAGAATATAAATCGTTCAATAGAAATGGTGCAAATGACAATTGATTGATTTACCTCTAGGTTAACATCTTGATTGAAAAATCTGAATTATTTAAAATACTATAATTGTGAAAAAAATGGAGATTCCAAAAGAATAAAAAAAAGCTTTTGGAAAAAATATATATGAATAAACAAATAAATAATTCAGGTTTAATCGTTTATCGGGCAATAGTTAAATATTAAGCTGGTAAATTAATTTTTTTCCTGAATTTTCGGCGATTTTGCAAGAGGATGGCGTGGTATTAAGAATATAGAATAATACTCAATAAAACACAGTTACAAAGTATTTGGTAACACCATCACGCTTACAGATGCAAATGCAGCGGGCAAAAACAGACTCCTACCTTACACCTTTAAGAAGACACTTATTACTGACTTCAACTGCCCTAGAACCTTGACATCGTTAATAGCAAGACTTAGAACCTTAATAGCAAGACTTAGAACCAATCATTTCAGAGGGATGAAAATTCTCCCAGACAAGACCAGGACATACGTTCCCTGCAGAAACTGCCCTGATGTCATGTTGGCACCAAAACACATTTTCGAGTGCTACGCACTCACCACACATGTTTTGAAATTGGGATGGGTACCAATTGAGGACAATCTAAGAACTGTTCTCCTCAGTCAAGAGGGGCCGAAGCTGGCGGCCGCAATAGTCCAGACCTTTGATGTGATCTGAAGATCCATGGACACGAAAACAGTAACAACAGCAAAGTATATTTAAAATAAAAAAATACATATTTGTTGAATACTTTAGCATTCATAAGTTGAATACGTTTTATCAAATGAAATTGATTCTGATGCGTCATTGTAAGTGCATAGAACATGTACGAATAATCTTTGAACATTAATAAAACGTTCAGAAGTTTGTGCAAAAATAAGCATTTATAAAGAAAATTAGTTAAATACATTAGAGAACGTAAGGAAACAAGCAAAACCCATTCATATAGAAATATTTTAGACATATCGGTAATTAACTTTGGCTCTTAAGTATGTGGAACTTTTCATTTTCCAGTTTAAATTTTTATAATCATTTTTGATAACCCGAAAAATGTTCTAAAATAAAACATCAGGGCAAATTTAATAATTCACGACAAAGAATGAGAGTTCAAAAAGTTAAAATAATATGTATAATTTAAAAACAAAAACACACACTTTATTTTGCTGCAGGCAGCTCAAGTTATACATATTGAATTTTAGTGACTGTTAATATTAACAGCTCCACCTAGAAATTAATTGAAAAAAGAAGCATTATCTGCGATTCAATGTCAAATATTTCTTTGCTCAATAACTAATCGGAAATTGTGCGTCACAATAAACGTTAACCATTAAGTAATGCATAATGAGATTTTGACTTATTTGCTGCTTATCCTACTGTTGGTATTCAATTGCATGTAAATACATGAGCATAGTACTCTATTTGTAAATCCATGACAAATATTTCATGATTAATAAGTAATCGGAAATTGCGTCTCGCAATAAACGTTATCCATTAAATAATGCTAAACTGACCACCGTCCTCCCAAAACTAAAATCCTGGTTTCAAAATTTCGAAACAAATAATCGAAATTTAATTAAAAAAATATTTCTGTTAAAGACTCCTTGCGTGGGATTTCTGTTCTCAGAATATTAAATTAGAAAGGTAAAACAGTGAGTTTCAAACATCTTTTTAGTAATTTTACAATCGGATTTTTAGTTTTGGGAGGGTGCTGGTCAGCCTAGTAATATCTAATGAATATTCGACTTACTTGTTGCTTATACTTTGAATATTTCTGCTGATAGAAGTTAATAATATGCAAATACTC